AAATAAGAAATCAGGAAGGGGGCAAACACTTTTTCACACAACTGTATGTTTCCTCAGTTTGCTGGTTTGCTTGATGTTACGTCCTTGTGATAAAGTTGTGTTTCCATAATCTTAAAGGGGGTTAGAGTTTCACCAACATCATAGCATCATCAGAAAGTTATTGATGGACCTTGTGGTCATTTTTCCAGCTGTCATATTTGATACTCGTTTTCTAAATTAAAGTAGAATAGTCTCTAATCTCACCTCTGTCCGTCTCCCAGGATTCTCATGGCTTCACTCAGATTCTTGCCCACTTGAGCAAACGTTGAGTCCACCATCGTCTAAAGTGTTTGTGGATCTGTGTGTGCGTGTGTGTGTGTGTGGGCTGGGAGCAAGTCAAAAAGAATATTAGGAAAAACATTTTTAAATCAGTCATTACAAATGCTGCAACACTAAAACTGTTTGTGTGTGTGTGTGTGTGTGTGTGAGGCAGAATTGTCACCGCGGGCATGCATACATTGAGACACACTGATGTTGTATTCACAGCATCCCTTCACATGCAACAATGTGTAAAATGTGTGCCCATCATGTCTAAAAGACTGGAAACAGGCTGAAAACATGATATTCTCCGTTAATACAAACGGTAACATGTTACATTTTGTCCCCGTTTTCTTTTTTTACATTGTCTTGATGTACCTTGTGTTGCAGTTTACCTGCCGACATTGTAAAGAGATGACAGAGTAAAAAAACACTGTAAATACTGTGCATTTTCATTTACATTACGGTAACTGCACAATACAACTGTTGCTTGGGTTTTGGATTACCTTCTTTCTCGACCACAGTTTGTCAGGCTTGATAAAAAATGGTCTGACACTATCTTAACTAAAACTGGAGCACCACAGGGAACAGTTTTATCCCCCTTTTTATTCTCACTTTATACAGCTGACTACAGGCAGAGCCATGTGCCCTGTAACATCCAGAAGTTCTCAGATGACACTGCTCTGGTTGGTCTACTTAACAGAGGCAACGACCTGGCCTACAAACGGGAGGTTGAATCGTCAGCTGGTGTTATGAAACTTTTTTAAAACTAAATATTAGAAAGACCAAAGAGTTGGTTATTGATTTTAGAAGGAAGAAGGAGGTCTCCCCAGTGACAATTGCAGGTCAGCAGATAGAAATTGTCCAGTTGTATAAATATCTCGGGGTCTATCTGGACAGTAAATTAAACTGGAAGAAGAACACTGATGCTGTTTTTAAAAAGGCTCAGTCAAGACTCTTCTTCCTGAGGAAGCTTAGATCATTTGACATCAGCAGGAAGCTTCTTCATGTTTTCTATCAGGGGATCTTGGCTAGTGTTCTTTTTTATGCTGTGCTCTGCTGGGAGGGGGGGGGAAATCACTGTGGATGATAAAAACAGGATCAATAAGATGATCAGAAAGGCTGGCTCAGTGATTGGCCTTACCCCAGACTCACTGGAAATCACTGTTGAAAAGCGAACAAGGGCCAAGTTAAAAACGATTGTCTTGTTTGAAGGCCATCCACTACACGGCGTCTTCAATGGACTCCAAAGCTCATTTAGTGAGAGACTCAGGATGCCTCAGTGTTCTACTGAACGAATAAGAAGGTCTTTCGTTCCAGCAGCAGTCCGATTTTTTTAATGAACACCTTTAGAGGTTTTTATCTTTCTGATGTCGATCATGTTTTATATGGCATTGTCTGGTGTTATTTATCCTTTGTAATGTGTTTCTGTCTGTTGTGTACTGTGTTGTGTACTGTGGACTGTATGAGTTATTGGTGGCAAATGAGTTTCCCCACTGGGGATTAATAAAGTGTTCTAATGTAATCTAATCTAACACCAGTGTTGTCACAAGTTCAGTAGCCAGTGGGAAAGAAACCAAATAAAAGCTGAACAATCTCTGTACTTGATAGGCCGCATGCAGATGGGTGTGGACACGTTCACTGCGTTTACTTTGGACCAACTACAGAGTTTTATTAAAGCATTACCTAGGAGGCCTATTTACAACGTAACTGGTTCAGCTGCTAAAATAATGTCCTTAAGGCATGATAGAATTTCACTTCAAATATTTATAATGATTTATCTTACAATAACTGATCTTATAATTATAATTATCTATTAACATAGATTTTATTAGCGACTAATTCATTCATTTGGTTTCAGCTCTGTGCTGAACTTTGGAGATTTGGGGACGTACAATTATTCAAATCTGGTGGTGTATAAACACAGAAAAACGTTCTGCTTAAAGTAACGACAGTTTGATAGGCTGCAAAAATTAAACGAGTGAATACAGGTTCTTTCCAAAGATATTTAAACACACACAACATTTAGATATTTAGCTTTATGTCAAAAAACTGTGACATATAATTGTCTCTAAAACAAGAAAATACAACTTTGATCTGCTGTGACTTTTTACTAACTTTTAAAAAAAATAGACACAGTTGTCACGTTATGCACTGCTAACATTTAGTTGTTTTCCTATCTACCAGACCCTTTTGCTATTGTTTGTGTTTATTGATTTTATTAGTTTCATTTAAGCACACTGTAAACCTCTCTTTGAAAAGTGACACACATATTGGAATTTTGAAATTAAAATACAGTTGTTGTTGTTGTTACTACTATTACAGGTATTGCAGCGCAGTACCCTGTTGAACCAAAAATAAACATTAAGTTATAAACAACTTATCAGGTCCGTTTCATTATTTTGTATATTGAGAATTTCTTATTTACATTATGGATATGATACAGATCTACATGGCATGTATCGCTCGACAGGAGGATCTGTGATCTGGTGAATGACCAGCAGTCCACTGCACATCCGCATTGTCAGCGGACACGTTACCGAGAGCCGCTGACATATGACACTGAAAACACCCGCTTCACGCTGCTTCCTCTCAGCCAGCAGGTTCCACAGAGCCGGAGGACAGCGGGGAAGCAGTGTGTTCGCTGCCCGTCTCACGTCTGACACACAGGGCTAGCTAGCAACACACACAGCTGACCGAGTACCTTCTCTGCACACAGCTGTCAGCCTGTCCGGGTCTGTGAGGGGGGCACGGGACGCACACGGTCCGGGTCCGGGTCCAGGACACGTTGTCCCTTCAGAAGTCTTCGAGGAAGCTCGCTGAACCGTTGAGTTGGACACGTATCAGCTGCTGTGTTTTCTTTCTCTATTCCGCAGACTCAAGACCGAACCGGATAGTTTACTTCCTGGATAGGAGCGCGACGTGACGCGCGTTCCACGCTGGCAGCGCCGACGTCACGTTCTGCCACTGAACTGGCCAGTCAGGTGGAGGCTGATGACGACGCTATATTTTTTTAATGATTCATTTTTATAGCCAGTGAACACAACCTGCAGATGTGCTCCTGTAATATGTGAATATTCCCACAGTGGTTGGAGACACTAAACATCGCGTCCCCTGTCTCTGTTGACTTTTGAGAGTTTAGGGTTAGTTAGATCCCCAATCAGATTAACGCAATCACTATATTCATTCTGGATTAGTTAAGCCTGATGTTGTGTTTGTGGTTCTGGAGAGCCTGGGCTCTCTTTTACACACGCTTGGTTTTATTAGCATTTTACTTCATGGCTGTTATGAAAATTGCTTACAAACCTGATTTTGAATGATCACGTTTCAGAAGTCCTTTGCAGAAAATGTCACAATTCTTCTGTATAGGTGCGTTTTTAAAAGGTTAACTGACCAACTATAAAGTTGATAGCATCCTCTAAATCAGCATAGGCCTACGTTGCTGACAGTATAATCCACAAACTCTCAATATCCTTGTTTATGGCCATTTGCTAACATTAATCCCTCGCAATTGAGCAAGTGTTGTAAAACAGTTGCTAATAACTCATCCACAAGTTACTTCAATCTTATGTTACTTATACTTCTGCTCCACTACATTTCAAAAGGAGCTATTGCACTTTTAACTTTTTTACAGCACTGCACTTATGTGACAGCCTACTTTTCAGATAAAGATTTAGCATAAAAACACCAAATGAATGGACAGAACATACTTCATTGTTATAGATTAAATCACATATTTCAGGACTTTGACTTGTTTATTTTTAAATTGTTGGATTATGTCATTTATATCAAATAGTTAATCTGCTTCACAACTCATGCTGATGCTAATGCATTGACACATCAGTATGAATGATCTAGTAAAGTCAAATATAATCCATCACTCCCAGGAGTCATTTTCTTTAGAATGTGTATTTTTGATACTTTCAGTACATTTTGTTGCCAACACTTATACGTATCATTACTTTTACTTCAGTGAGATTTTGAATGCAGGGCTTTTAGTTGTAGTGTCTTTTTACATTGTTGTGTTTTTAATATTACTCAGTGACTGTGAGAAACTTTTAACTGAATATTAACACGTTTCAGTCTAGTCCTGATCCTCTATATGAACTTCATCAGTAAACGAGACCATCAGAGAGAAGATTTTTATTTACTTATTCTTAACAATTAATCTGGTGAAATCAGATGAAATCATGCAGGTTCACCAGAAACTCCTTCAGCTCATACTCAAGCAGGGCCTCCAGCAGAGACCGGTCCACCGTGGACAGACCCAGATCCTCCAGCAGAGACCGGTCCACCGTGGACAGACCCAAATCCTCCAGCAGAGACCGGTCCACCGTGGACAGACCCAGATCCTCCA